AACAGATGTAGATTCAAGGCTGAATTCCATTCAAGAAACAGAGGAAAATGAAAACATCAAAACGACGATAGAAGAGCTGGAGGCTGTGGTTTTGTTTATACACTGGCTAGAGAGAAAAGTGTATATAGGAGCTAATCTTATCCCGGAGGTGAAGCGTAAGTTAATTGAATTTTTAAAAGCTAACGCGGACTATTTTGCTTGGTCCCATACTGACGTGACAGGGATACCACCGGAGGTGATGACTCATAAACTAAATAAAGATCCTTCATATCCTCTAGTAAAGCAAAAGAAAAGAAAGCAAGGAACTTTCAAGAATTAGATGATTCAAGAAGAAGTCCAAAAATTGCTAAAAATTGGCTCTATTCGTGAGGTAAAGTATCCTAACTGGCTAGCCAACACTGTTGTAGTTCCAAAATAGAACGGTAAGTGGCGGGTTTGTGTAGATTACACAGATCATAATAAAGCTTGCCCTAAAGATTCTTTTCCACTGCCACACATAGATCGATTGATTGATGCAACTGCAGGTCATGAACTATTAAGTTTTTTAGATGCATATTCAGGGTATAATAAGATTAAAATGGATCCAGGAGATGAAGAAAAAACTTCCTTCATAACAGACAGGGGGACTTACTGTTATAAAGTAATGCCCTTTGGTCTAAAGAATGCAGGCGCAACGTATCAGAGGTTAGTTACAAAAATGTTCCAAGAACACTTAGGTAAGACTATGGAGGTATACATAGATGACATGCTTGTTAAAACTCAGTATTCAAAAGATCATATATCGNACGTTCAAATTTTTCGTTCTAAAGGATACTCATTAACTACGTTTTCCCCAAGTTAGCTAACCTCACTTTTGAGCTCTTCATTCTCTAGACAAGGTAAGAATTACAAGAAGTTTGAAGGGAAGCATGTGAGCTCTCTAAAGCACGCACCTTATCAACAGAAACTCGAAGTTCCTCTTCTGCCTGGGTTAGGTTTTGCACAAGTTCCCCAGCATAAACCTCTTTTTGAACCAACAGAGCCTTTAATGCCCTATTCTCCTCGCTAGCCTGGATAGTTTTTCTTAAAAGGAGGATTCAAGGCATTCTTTTTCCTTCTCAGCTTGGCTCGAGGAAGCCTTGATAACCGCCAGCTCCAATGTTAATGCTCGTACTTGCTGTTCTAAGGTACTTCTTCTCTCTTGTAAATCCTCCATGTCGATTTGAGCGCTGTCAAACTGTTCCTTCCAATTGTTTGCCCCCAACTGGGAATCACGGGCAGCCTTCTCTGCATCATGAGCAGCCTTCTCCAAATCACGTGCTACCTTCTCCAAGAGGGATTCTGCTCATCAGCTCAGTGCCAATAAGATTGGCCTACGTAAAAAAAAAGAGAAGTAAGAATCCCAAAGTCGAAAATTTTTACAGAATGGAGAAAAGTAGGAAAGAAAAATACCTTTAAAGTGGCATGCACTATGTCATTCATGAGAGTCAGGTTGCTATGGCTTTCAAGCTTTGATTTCTCTATGGGGCCAATCAAAGGCTCGAGCCAAATATCAGCTTGACCGGACTTTCTCAAGAGGCTGTTGTTAGCAGGAACCTCAATGGTTACGCTCCTCATAGCAGTACTCCTACTTGAAGAGCCCACCTTCGTATGGTGAACGATAGGTGGAGGAATTGCCAAAGGAGGAGCGGTGGAAGAAGGAACAGAAGCAACAATTGATGAAGGTAAAGAAGCAATCACAGGTACAGGAGATGAAAAGGAAGATAAGGGAAGCTCGTCTAGAACAGGTCCTAAGTTTCCACTACCAAAACCACTAACAAAAAGTTGATCGATAGACTCACGAGTGTCGTGAGGAGAGACGTCATCATCAGGAATGATAACTGGAGTAACAACAGGCTCGGAAAGAGACAGATTAGGGGAGACTTCAGCCTCGTCATCAGAGACGATACGTCTCCTGGCTCGTGGTCTCATCACCAGGGAGCCCTCATCTTCTTCCTCTGAATCTTCTTCCTCAGTAGCTTTTCTTTTTGAAGAACCCAAGAATATATCTTGGGCTGAAGAGGTACGAGTACTCAAAGAGTCACGAGAAGCCATGATTGCCTCTGCAGTGACTCCTCGAATAGCAAATCCTGATAAAAAGAAGGATAAAAGTTAGAACAAAGAAAATATTTATATACAGACAAGGTAAAATAGAAACTCTTACCATGAGTTTTTACTTTCCAACCGTAACGGTTGGAAAGGTTTTTCCACGACCTACCCTCCATTGGAGCGGTCTTCAACAATTTTCCTACCCAACCACGGAAGTTGGGCACAGTCTCCACAATACCCATGGTTGCTGAGAAAAGAAAAAGAAGCGACATTAGAAAAGTTGATAAAGCTTGAAAGGAAAAGGCACGAGGAAGATTTAACACTTACGTGCAAAGTTCCACTTCTCAGGGAAGGGAACGTTATTTTCACCCACTAAACCAGCAGTGGGGGCAGCAACAAACCGAGCATACCAGCCACGGTCTTTATCGTCCTCGGGGCTCACTAAAACCCTCTTGCTCCTGGCTGCTAGGCTAAACACGCCGTTGCGAAAAAGCCTAGGGGAACAGAGATGAATTAGGTGGGGAAAAGTAAATTCGACATCCGCCGTGTTAGCGAGGTGCCTCAAGCAGGCGACAACCCTCCAAATAATCGGACCAATTTGACCCAAACACACGTTGAAAAAACGGCAAAAGTCTAAAATGACCGGGTCAGTGGCTGGTTTAAACCCTAGAGTGAAAGGGTATGTGTAAACAAAAGAGAATCAGATTAAGTAAGAAGTGATCCTTTGATTTGGGTTAGGAATGATAATTGGAAAATCGTCACTCCAGTGACAATCGTTACGAATTATGGGAGTTAAAATATCTATGATTTGAGTGGGGAAAGCGTCAGCACGATCTAAAGAGGCAACTTGGGTCCTGAGAGATTCTCTATCATGGTGAAAAGAAATTTCTATTGGGACTATTTCTTCAACTAGAGGCTCACGAAGGGGCTCAGAGGATTCTTTATTCCTAGAAGAAGACCTCTGAGAAAGGGAACCCCTAGTCCTAGAAGAGGGACCAGAGCTAGAAGAAGGAGTGGATGTGCTACCACCACGAGCAGACCCCAAGCTACGGAGTCTACCCCCTCTTCTATGCCTAATAGGAGCATTGGGGAAGTTATCTAAAATGGGGGTTCTCCTAGGGTTAGGGTTTGGTGAAGCCATGAAAAAGAAGATTGAAGTAGAGCAGAAGACAATAAGAGGTTTTTGAAGAATTAAAGTGTTTGACACGCTTTATGTGGTAAAAGACAAGTAAAGAAGTTATATTTATACTAATGGGTAACCGGCAAAAGGAAAAAGTACAATGATGGAAGAGCTATAATAATGATAACTGACACTTCGTGAATAGGGAAGCCGAAAAGAAAGCATAAGAAAGTGCTGCAAAACTGTAGAACCAATAAGAGGATGACAAGTGTCTAATGCATTAAATGGAAGTGACAATTGAAGCGTCGATTCTGTCAGAGCATTAATGGTAACAAAAATTCTCTTTTAAATGAATTCCACTTCCCAAATATTCAAACTGATGAATAAATGGAAAGTGGCGGGACTATCTGTATTGGGGAAAATTGTATTTACATATATGGTGACGTGTCACGACACGTGGATTGGTCAAATGGTCAATGAATCACAATTAGACACGATTCAAGAATTGTAAAACAGACACGAGCAAAGAAGGAGGAAGAGGCACGGGACATCAGATAAGTAGCACAGCGCCCGTACCTATTTAAATCATTTATATCCAGGCATCAGAAGAAATGAATCTGGTTATAAAAAGGAGTGCAGATACAACATTTAATGAGTATTAAATGTTGAGTCCGTTAAGGAATATATATATTCAATGTAATGATTGTGTAACGTAGCATTCAATATCTTTAATTATTCATAATAGCCTCATTATGATTTGGGCATAACGTACATTCTCAAAGGTACCTATAAAAAGGAGATATATAATCAGTTGTAGGGGACACGAAAGACTATTGAAATATACATTGGTATCATTTGTTTCTTGATTATTATATTGCTACTCAGAATTATTTTCTTTTATTCATTTCCTTGATTATCAGTAACCCGAGTTCTTCTAAATTCTAGCTTTGACTAAAATTCCATTTTTTGGTTAAATACAAACAACAAAAGAGAAATATACCAAAAGAGACACAGACATTTAACGTGATTCTACATCCACGTGCAGAAATGAGCAATTCACTATATAAAAGAGAGTATAAAATATCAAAAGAACAACCTCACAAACATGAGCGGATGCACCTTTAATGAAGCGGTGGCACACGACGCCGTTTCGTCAGAAAAATTTACTAGATATATATGTGTATTAATACTGTGAGGAAATGCATGAGTAGGAAAATGACATTATTTGACATAAATTATCTCTTAGTGTGTCGGTTATGTGTTAAAAATTCTGATAGAGTAGAATTGAACTCAAGACCTTTTCTAACTTAAGACAAACAAAACCAATAAAGTAATGTTATTTCTTATTTAGAGATATGATAATTAAGTTATTATTCTCGTTCTTTTAAAAATTTTGACACGGCTTACAAATAAGCAAACACAAGTGGTGGGATAATACTCGTCTCACAAATTTTCCCCCTAAACAATGCTCTCAAATCCCTTATGGCTACATTATGGTTGCTACTAAATGAGAAGGAAATTTTTTTCAATTTATAGAAGTCCAAAACTTTTTTCTTCAAAAAAAAAAAGACTAGCTAAATATGAAAGAATTATATTCTTTTTTTCATAAAAGATAAATTCAATAATAATAAATATGTTGTACTTTCTTCAAGGAATAGAAAAATCAAATATGATTACAAAATCAGGACAAATACCTATCAAAAATTACAATTAAAAAAGTTTATTTGCTTACCGTAATTTTGTTAGAAAGGAGGAACAAAAGCAATATATTGAATTACGTACTCATGACGAAAAAAAATTGATATACCAAACATAAAATCAAAAGACCATTAATTAATTATATCGTAATTAGCGCACCAACAAAATTCTCCAAGCACTTGTAATGCTCATAACAAGCCAGGAGTAAAATAGACCTTTGACAATATACAATATATAAACTATAGTACGTAACCTAAAGAAGAAAATAGAAAAAAAAAAACACTTAATTTCTACCATTAGCTCTCTTTCTAAATTTTTAGGCCTTAAATCATGTGCAGAGTGGTGCAAACAAAGCGATTTTCTTGCAATTATGAGAGAGCCATTTGGAGTGCATATAGCTTGCTTTTCTCCAAGGAGGAACATGAAGGCCTTTCTCCTTAAGGGACTGTTTGGCAGCAGCACAAAGCAAAGATATAATGCCATTGAGTTTCTCCTCAGTACCCACAAATATTGAAGGAAGAGAATTTGAAAGATCTTGGTAGGCTTGTGTAGGCCTAGCCAACTCAAACTGTGACCTAAAATCTATATCCACTATTAGTCTCACTGTTTCCTCTGATCCATTGCTTTCCTTCATCATCACATCTATGTACTCATAATCACCTGTAAATTTAAATGCTTCAAAACCCACAAAGCCAAAAAAACATAAATCAGCAAAAAAGAAAAGGGGTTACTTAATTAACTAGCTAGGCATTTGGACAATATATATGTGGCTAAAGTTACAAAAAAGAAGTATTTGAAGTTAAAATTGAAAAAAAGTACGTTAAAGTTCAAATCGTGTGTGGACATAAATTTTACTTGAGAAAAATATTTACAATTAAACGAGAGTAAACAACATTATTTCACTTAATTAAACATTTTATTCAATATTTCACCAATGTTTATTCAGAAAAAGTAATATTCATATATTTTGGTGGTGGTGGGGGTGATGTGATTGACGAGGTAGAATAGTACCTGAAGGACGACCAAAAGTGGTGATCCAAGAAGTTTTACAAAGAGAAGCTTCATAATGATCCATTCTTAATCTATTGACAATCCATTGCCTTAACTCGTTAGGCTTCATATTATTATTAACCATGTTTCCCCAGTAAAACAAGATTTTCCCAAGAATCTCTGTTTCAGCATCTGTAACATTCTCAAGAATATCCTAACAAATAACATCCAAAAAACAAGTCAACATTAGATGGGGGTGTAAAAGAAGACTTAAAATTAATACTCCAATAGTACGTACCTGTAAGGTAAGATAAGTAGTAGGATTATGATCAACAAGTTCATCAACTTGTAAAGTTTCAAAATGATGATCTAATTCTATAAAATCTCTGACCATTTGGGACAGCTTATCTTCTTCTAGTTCAGAAATACCAATCACTATTTCTTTCTCTTTGCTGTTGCTTTTCATGTTGAGTTGCATATACAGAAGAAAAGATGGTGACCTGATGAAACTTTTCCTTTTTTCTTCTTCTTTTTTCCTTTACACATCAAAGTTGAGAGGCTAGGTGGGGGATAATGAGGTTTCTATGTTTGGTTTCTATATTTCATAGACTAGGAAATATTATGGATTTTTTAATTTCTTTGGGATACGATTTTTTTTTAATGTCATCAACAGAATATACAGTCCACATCATCTACTCATCAGATAATGTTGGCAATTTATGCTAGTGGTATAGGAGATTAATTAGGTCATTTCCTCTCTTTTTCTTAGCTTGACTTTTTAGGGTCTCGAGTTTTGACAAATAGATTAGTTGTTAACTAATCTAATCCTGTTTAATGGAAATAAAAATATCTACATAGAACTCTTCAGACAGGGATTCAAGAAATTGTAGAATTATTATAAAATGGTCTCGTGATCTACATAAACCGCTAAGAATGGATTTAAGAAATTATAAAATATTACAATTTTCAAATATTCTTTTTTAACTGTTCGACAAGTGTTTGGATAGCTCATTACTTAAAAAAATACGTATTTTTATTCCTAAAAAGATTAAGAAACAATGGTAAAGCTCGGATAACAGTAGAATACTTATATGTGGTCCGAAACATGTACTCGGATTTAATCGATAATGAAGGGTGGGTTCTACAGATTTAACTTAACACGTTGCTATGTATGAATATGAAGAAATAAATTTAAAGTATATACACAAAATAAAAATTAAACTTATTGACTCTAGATTTTAAATCGACTCACCTATCGGGCGAAGTAGTTTCTTTCGTGCAGGTTAATCTGGTCGAACATATTATAGTTTTACATAGAATCTTAACTCAATACTCCAAATACAAATATGCGTGAAAGATGAAAAATGAAATGTTTGCAAAAAAGTCATGTAACGGAAGCTTCAACAATTGTTGTAATTATGTATTAGAGGAAACAAACATAAACCTGGATGCAAAACGAGCGCAGAACTGGAAAAAAGCTGATGCCGCGAAACCACGAGCCCAGTCTATCATTAAATAGGCCCATATTATGTGGACCTACAATGAAAGTAGCCCAAGTTGAAACAATATCCTCTCCAAACCTGACGAGATTTTTATATGGGGATTTTTACCTTCCTAAACTACATATGAAACTTATTTACCCTTCCTAATTAAGTTTTAATTTAATTATGTGGGCATATAGAATTTATCAATTATATATACAAATTAGTATTAATGAGTATCCCTTTATATCAAGAATTGAATAGGAATCAGTTATTTCTCCATCCATGCTCTCTCTCTCTCCTTCTCGCTCTTTCCATCCCTGCTCCCCTTCTTTGTTCTTTTTGCGATTTTCTTCCTTTCGTTTTCTCTGCTTTTTTATCCTCTCTTTTTATCAATGAATTTCAATTGTTTTAATATAGAGTTCTAACTTAGCAATTTTCTTTCATGTTGCACAATTGATGTTCGAATTGAAATTGTCAATTAATAAATTATGAAGGTGTTTGATTCTCCACCATTGACAGCCATTAAAAAGCTTCAAAACTTTGATTTCGAATTTGGGTTTTCAAAAATTATTGTTTGTTTAGATTGGGTGTTGTTGCAAATAATTTAGAATATTCTTTGGAGTTTATATCTCAATTTTTAGGGTATTTGGTGAAGAGTAGACTTGATTTTGGCTGAATTTCAGATTGAAACTCAAAGAAGAAGAAGAAGAAGAAGAAGAAGAAGAAGAAGAAGAAGGACATGACATGCAATATGCTTACGAAATTGTATTTAAGTTGTATTCTGTTGTAATTATATATTTTTGGAATTCAATGTTGTATGAAAGTTGACAAATAGTTGTATAATGTATGAATTATTTTATGAAATTTATATATAAGTTATAAATACTCTTTTTTTACGTAAAGTTGTTGATATCTATCAAAAATTGTATTAAGAGAGGAGTTTTAATTGGAACTTCAGGGAAGAAGAGGTAAAATATCACATATAAAATATATGCAAATCATATACAAAATACATACAAAAATATATGTGTATGAAAATTGTATTTAAGTTGTATGATATTGTAGTTATTTTTAACTGGGTAAAAATTACGTATAAAAATTATAAATAAGTTATAAATTAGTTGTATATTATATAATTAGTCGTATAAAATTTATTTTAGTTATATGTTACTGTAGATGTATCAAATTGTACAAGTTCATTAATTGTACGGGTATGTTTAGAATTGTCATAAATATATATTATATGATGAATGTTCATTTAGTACTCCGTTGTAAATAAGCTTCCTGAAGAAGCTTATCCATATGGGACTCCGCCTATTTAGTACTCTATTGGAAATAAGCCTCCTGAAGAAGCTTATCAATTCGGTACTCCGTTATGGATAATATTACCCCCAGTAGAAGATTATCTATATCTGGTACAGTAGCAGCTTACAAGCAACTTACAAGCAGCTTACACAGCAGCTTGCAGTAGCAGCTTACAAGCAACTTACAAGCAGCTTACTCAGCAGCTTGCAGTAGCAGCTTACAAGCAGCTTGCAGCAGCAGCTTACACAGCAGCTTGCAGTAGCAGCTTACAAGCAGCTTGCAGTAGCAGCTTACACAGCAGCTTGCAGTAGTAGCTTACACAGTAGCTTCCTTTCTTCTATAAATAGAGGAGATTTCAGTTCATTATATATATGAATTTGAAGTTGAATAATAAATATCTCTCTCTCTCTCTACTTGTCTTCGATTTCTTTACTTTAAAGTCTTTATTTTATAACACGTTATCAGCACGAGACTCTGCCATTTTGAGCACTTACTTAGAATTTAATTTCTATTTCAATGTTCATCTCTGATGTAAGGCGACACTCTTACGTCCGTGGTTAGATCTTGTTCATTCCGAGCATCATAATATATCCTTAGGGTGGTGAGTTTTTCTTCTTGGCAGTAGTGAAGGAGATATCACTTACATCAGGAGTGGCCAAATTTGAGCCTTTTACTTATATTTTAATATATGTATTATCGCCTGCTTGGTTATGTGTTGCATATACAATACCTATTTTGGTATTTGTTTTCATCCTTATTATCTTAGTAAAGGATTACAAAGTGGATAGCATTGTTAGATCCACTTAAACTCCAGTAGAGTTTACAAGAAATATACAACCACCAGAACTGTTATGTTTCATATATCTCATTGTAACTAAATTTTGGTAACCACCAGAAGTGGTATATGCCTATAACCACCAGAAGTGATAATTTAGGCTTTCTATGGTTACAGTTGAAGATAAGTTAGAGAAAATTTCTCTATATTACTTGCATGCCTCGATTTGCTACTTAAGAAGCAATATCTTAAAAGAGGTTCTAAGCCGTCACACAATTTGGTGTGATTAATGCACGTTCAAATAATTATGTTCCGTCCCTTAAAGGATGAGAACTTTTGATAAATATTAATCCATTCCTGAAGTGAATGTGACAATATTAATAAAGCTCGTAAATATGAACGCGCTTTTGATGTGAATATATTACAATTCACCTCCAGAAGAGGTAATATGATTGAGGGAATATATACTCAATATTTCGTATTTTAAATTTGTTCCTGAAAAAGTAACACTATTGAAATTTTCTCATGAAGCAGGAAAATATTGTGAAACTGTGTATTTCTGTGCTTAAACAAAATAATAAGCTATTCAAAGTTATTTTTGAAGCACATTTTCATTCCTTGGAGTGAATGAAGAAATACCACAACTCACCTCCTGAAGAGGTAGAATAACAAAGGATATAAATCTTGTTTTTATGGCATAAAGATCATTGTTGCACGTACCTGTTGTACGTAAAATATATTGGTAATTTTATTAAATATCATTGCAAGGCAAAAGTATTCTTGTAGAATGCTTTCTACTACAACCACATTAATATGTTATGGTTAGTTATCGAGTTCCCCGAAGGAAATAACAACTCGTATATCTTTCCCTGAAGGATGTAATGACTATGTGGTTACCGCTTTGATATAAAATATTCAGATGTTAATGATATTTCTCCTTGAAGGAGATATTTATCACAAAGTTAGTGGTAGAAATATTAAAATTCTTAATTTTTGTCATTCATAAATTTAGAATTGGCTTTATATTGTTCATTTGATTATGATCTTCTCTCAAGATACCAGAAGCGTCTGAGCAATATTTGATAGTACAAAATGTATCAACAACTCCTGAAGAGCTAATTATTTGTCTAGAAGACACATGACACCAGTAGTGTCCAATAAATATTAGATTGTGGATAATAAATGAAGGCTCGAAGAGCTTATATACAATATGTCATTCATATTATATGATTATGGTCAAAACATATGTTGTAGTAAACCCGAAGTTTACTAAAACAAATGGCTATCATATTGCGACTTTAAATGATTGGAAGATTGAAAATCTTCATGTTTCCACAACCATATGGGGTAAAATAATATGTATGTGAGAAGTTACCCGCCTTATTCTTCAATTTGTACTACATCATGTATCACGGTAAACCAGAAGTTTACTAATGCAAAAGCCGTCACAGTAAACCACAAGTTTTACCGAGGCAAAAGTAGCTCAGTAAACCAGAAATTTGCTAATACAAAAGTAGCCACAATAAATCAGAAGTTTACTAATGCAATAGTTTATGTCATAGTAAATCAGAAGTTTACTAAGAAATAACACATGCCATGATAAACTTGAATTTTTCATTTGCCATTTTTAAATGAGATATTTGAGAATTCAGATAAGCATATACTAAAGAACTAGAAGATTCTTCAAGAATTCTCCTATGTTTCTTGTTAATCATAATAAATTTATTATACCAGCTAAAGTTGGGACTAAGGCCCCTGATTCTGAAATATATAAAAGGTGAATATGGGCCCATTCACCTATCATGTGAACCACTTGTAGATGCATATATAAGATGGTTACATGTATGTTTATTGTCAACCTGCAGTTTGGCATTTGAAATTGCTTTTCTCACTTAAGAGCATAATTTTCAGATTATAAAATCAAGACAGTTCATCTTGATAATGCTGGTTTACATACAAGCTAGTTTAGCAGTGAATACCTCTCATTAATGGCTAAATTATTGTT